CAGTGCTTACAGACCCAAGGCCTTTTCTGCTTCTCAGTGAGTAGGCTGGGGGTGCATAGGAAGCTGGGAGGAGGCACAGCCAGGACAGCTGACCCCAACTGACCAAAGGGGTGTTCCAGACCATATCACGTCATGCTCAGCATATAGAGCTGGGGGAAGAAGGTGGAAGGGGGAATGTTCGGAATGATGATGTTTTGTCTTCCCAAGTCACCGTTACGCATGGTGGAGCCCTGCTTTCCTGGAGATGGCTGAACCTGCCTGCCGATTGGAAGTAGTGAATGAATTCCTTGTTTTGCTTTGCTTTCATGTGCAACTTTTGCTTTACCTATTAAATTGTCTTTATCTCAGCCCACAGGTTTTCTCACTTTTACCCTTCTGCTTCTTTCCCCCATCCCACTGTGAGGGACCATCTGTGTGGTGCTTAGTTGCCAGCTGGCATTAAACCACGACACTGGTTTTGATAGGACATGTTGCTATAGCATTGTTCAAATCCACTTGATGTTCATGCATCTGTATAAATAATCTTAAGGATAAATACTAGTCTTTCCAACATGCCAGATAAGTATCAGTTGAAGAATATATGCACATTAATGTGTTCACACATTAGTGTTAAATGCATGATTTGCCTGTCTTGTAGAGACAGAGGCTTAGGGGTTTTCAGATACGGTTTTTAAGTTCACAGTTTGTGCTTGCAGTTCCCCGTTTGGGGAGGTACAGCAGAATGCAGCCCATTGTAAGGTTGTGTGTATGACTTGAATGGGACTTCTTACGCATTTTAAGGGCAACGTTGCAAAATCTCACACTGAGTTAGGGCTGATGTACAGCTTCCTTCACCATAACTCTCCTTGTTGGCTAATCCCTCTAGAACTGTAGGGTAGATATTATTTCTATCATGTACCACATGTAAAAATTTACCCTTCTGTTGCAGTGTCTCGTTGTGAAGTTTCACAAGGCTGGATTAGTCAATTATCTTTGTTATGGTTGGGGTTTTGGTGAGGGTGGGGGGAGTGGAGTGGGTTTTTAATCACCGTAGGTACTATTTTTGGTTTTAAAGGAAATAAAAATGATTTTTGACATGAAAAATGTAAGGTCTCTAGAGTAATCTGTTATCACAATCAGCATCCATCGGTCCTCTGTGGAAACCTGGCTGCGTGACAACTCCAGCAGGAATCCAGTGCACCCAAACTCCTTCCCTTTGAAAGCATCTGTGAACCTAGTGCAGAAGCAGCACAGGACCCATGTGCACCAGGAGGAGGCCAAACACTGCTCCTAGCTGCATCTTCCAATGCTGCTGGTGTGCTGGTGACCTGCAGGACCTGTCAGGGAAATGCACAATGGCAGCAGAGTGGTGTTGCCTTCTGCTTCTACAGTAAATACAAAAGCTGCAAGGACTGTCAGACTGATCTGAGAGGCTTGTCATACCCTCCTGCTGCACCGATCCCGCATCGAGCTCCTGGAGGTGCTGATGTTAGTCAACATTTTAGCTCTTCAGCAAACCTAATGACTTGCAAGAATGACCAGAATGAAAGGCAGTTACTGAACCCTTGATGAGAGGGAGAAGGCCAATGCAGTGCTTGTTACTTTGGGGAAGATGACTACTGCTCTGAAGCCTTCTGGCATCCACCATCTTTTTAATTGGGTTCCTTCCTGTGCTCGAAGGGATTTATTGCATCTGGGTCTGCAGTGCAGTAGCCCAGTGCAGGTGGCCACAGGAATGCGGAGCTGGTTCTTGCCTCATGTTTTAAGGCATAGTTGTTGCCTTCAAACCTTAAATGGGCTGCTCTTCGGTTACCTAAAACATCTCTACCTTGGAGTGCTTTGTGTCACCTGAGCTTCATTGTGAGCCCTAGGAACTGCCTAATACAGCAGAAGATGGGACCATCAGCAGCTGTCGAATGTCTTTTGCTGCTCAGCATTGCCTCTAATGTGGTGCAGGAGATGACTTTGGATGCTCAATGGTCATGAATGTGCATGCAGCCAGAGTGGCATCCACCCTAGGAGGAGAGACTTTCAACCATGCAGGTGGCCCTGGTCAGCCATCAAAGGAATCAGGAGGATCGAGGCCTCTTTGGGACTCCTTCTGTTGCAAAGCAGCTGCATGATCTGGTCTTTGGTTGGAAGGAATAGGGCTTGTGCCTGCTAAGGAGTTGAGGTAGGAGTAGGAGCAATGTTTGAGCAAGAAACAGCAAGGGCAATTGTACTCTGAGACAGCTGCTTCTGGCTGATAAAGTAGCAATGGAGAAGTTCCTGTGAAGCAGAAGGACTGAGGTCTAGTTTATGACCTCATGGCAAAAAGACTTGCTTAGTAAAAATGAATTACTTAAAGAGAGTATTTGTCTCTGCACCTTCTTTTTCTCTGCTGTGGGGAGCCTGACCTTGGAGGCAACAGTATTTGCATGTGGAATTGGTCAGATTTTGAGCCAATAAAATGCACCTGGCTTTCTGCTGATGCAGATCTCTGAGTTCTGGGGCATGGAGATGAGTGATGGTGTCTTTGCTGTGCATGCCTGGTGTGAGGCATAGCCACTCCAGCTTAGCAGTGGTAATATCTGAATTTAGCTCATCTTAAGTGCATTTACTACAGTAGGGAAAGGTGTTTGATGAAGATTGATCTTGTTTGATTTCCCCTCCCCCCCCCGCCACTCCTGCCCCTCCCTTGGCTCCATCACTCCTCTCCAACATGCAGAAAGCTTCTATGTATGTCCAGGTGATATTTTTCCTCATTCTTCCTTCTTTATGAGGCTTGTCTTTTTAAGTTTACATTTTGGGGGTTGTGAGTTAGGGCTTTAGGTGTCTTTTCTGATCTTATTTCCTTTGGTTTGTGTCACAGCTGACGGAAATAGGCACTTACTGTGCTGTGGTGAATCATGCCATAGGTAGGTGGCCAAATTAGGTCATCTGCTTCAGGGGGGGCTTTCCCAACCAGCTGCAGAGTTTTCAGAGCTGCTTTAGCATTTTGACAACAGTGAGTTGATAAGACAGCTTCCTTCCTTGCTGTTGAAGAAACCTTCACTGCTAATAGTGTTCACCATTTCAACCAACTTAATTGGCTGGCTTGAAGGACCGAAATCAGTAGCTGAAAACAGGAGTGGCTGTATAACCTTATCCTGGAGGACTTGGCCCTGGATGGTGAGGGGTGGGTCTTTGCTAGGAGTGACGGCAGAGGGCAGTTCCACACCACACCTCACCAGG